AGTTGGCGTAATGGCTGTGTCACTAGACTCCCACGTAGTCGACCACGGTTCAAGTCCCAGACCAAGTGGCTTAAACTCATGCCGGGTGCGTGTGCATGTGTGCCCAAGATCCCAAGAGGAGAATGAAGAAGAAGGGATTGTGGCATGGCCATCCCCCTGGGGGGTGATTTCTTGCTTTCTGTCTCTCTGTCCCTCTCTCTCTGTCTTTCTGGCAAATACACATGCACTGTAGCAAAAACCTCTCCCAAAAAAAAGAAAGAAAGAAAGTCATTAAGTCATTAGAAGAAGGTCACCCAGCAGCCAGCAGCCAGCAGTGTACATTGGAGAATGGGGCAGGAGAGGGAGTCCAAGACTGGTGCATGTTCTAGAAAACAAGCAGGGCCTGGTGGAGACACTGGCAAGGTGGTGGGAGGACACAGCTCCAAGGCATGCCCCCGGGCTGCAGTCATCTCCCTCCACTTGGGACTTTGGGCAAGAGGCAGCCCCTCTGGGAGCCTTAGTTCTCAGAGGGCAGTAGCAAGTCATTGCAATACCATGCCACTGCAACCTCCAACCCGGTGACTGGCCACTCAGGCATCCTAGAGTTCGCGCTGCCACCTCTTCCACCTTCTATCTCTGTTCTCTCTCCACAGCATGGAAAACTCCACTCTCTACATCAGTTTCACTCCCAAAGGTCCCAAGGTCCACCAAGTCAAGCACATCTACCAGGTATGAGCCTCAGTGGGAAAGGTCCTTAAAGTCACACCTACTCAACCCTGTCCTGGGTCCTGACCATGCACACACACTGGACACTGTCCCCATCCCAGAGACCAGCCTTCATCTCAGTTCTCCCCAGCCTCACTGCCTCCACACGAATGCTTCCCGTGGCAGCATGCTCCCTAACACCCATCCACCTGGGCCTGGTATTTATAGAATCACACACTGTGTTGGTGAGAAGGGCTCTGGGAGACAACCTGGTTTTTCATTCACACGTTTAACGACCCACTGCTCTAGTTTAGGTACTTTGCTAGATGCTAGGTCAGCAATAAATAAGACAGGGACCCTGTCCCACACAGAGCCAAGTTCTGTGCCTGGTGTGGTGTCTGTGCAAACCCGTGTAATCCACACCACAAGCTCGGAGTCTGTCAGGTGAGCATCGTCATTCCTGTTTCAAAGAATCTGCAGCTCAGACAGGGCAGTCACTGGCCCAGGTTACGGCGCTAGGAAGAGGAAGAGGTCAGATTTAAGCATGTATTCGAACTCCAAAATTCACACATTTAACTTGTAAGCTAATGACCTGTCGTTTCTTGTGCAATCTGGCCAGGGCTGTAATGGCGATGTTGGTTACGGGGGCTGCCCCCAAGTGCTTAGACGTAACCTCTGAGAGAGGAGTACATCAGTCAAGTCAAAGCATTTTCATTTTACTGTGGAGGAAACCTGTAGTGTAGTGTGCTGTCGTAAAAGCGAGCTTCAGAAAGTTCATAGAGGGACTGGCAGGTGGTGTGGTGGTTAAGGTGCTGGACTCCCACATGGCCAACTGCAGTTCGAGTCCCAGACCTGGTGGCTTGCTTTCTTGCTTTCCCTCCCTCTCTCTCTGTGTCTCTCTCGGACAAGTGCATCTGCCCTATAGCAAATAAATGAATAAATAATAAAATTTTAAAAGTTTATAGAAAAAATATATTATGGGAAAACATGCATGAATTTCCCTTTTATTGTTTTTTGCACCAAAAAGAACCTTGTCCTTTCATTCCTTTTATCCATGAGCTTTTGAAAAGAATTCTCTATTTATTATTATTGTTATTTTTAAAATTTGCTATAGGACATGTGCACTCACCAGAGAGAGACCGGGGGGCAGGGGAAGATGAGAAAGCAGGCCCGTAAGTCCAGGACTTGAACCGCAGTTTGCCATATGGGAGCCCAGCACCTTAACCACCGTGCCACCTGCTGGCCCTTTCCATGAGTTTTTGAAGCCCCCTCATCTAATACAGTGTAGTGTAGTATCATACCCTCTCAGAGACATTCACTGGTGCCACTCCCAGTACTGCTTTATAACGCGCAGGTCGCCCAGCCCTAGTCCAGATAGCTCTTTTGTTTGGGGGGGTGCGATTTTTGCTACAGGGCACATGTGCTCACCAGAGAGATAGAGATGGAGAAATCACCCCCCAGGGAGGATGGCCACAGTGCAGTCCCTTCTCCATTCCCCTCTTGGAATCTTGGCCATGCACACACGCACGCCTGGCGTGAGTTTCAAGCTGCTGGGTCCGGGATTCAAACCATGGTTGGCCATGTGGGAGTCCAGTGCCTTAACTATCGTGCCACCTGCTGGCCCCCAGATAGCTCTTTTTATATAAAAGGTACTCAGGAAATGTTTCCTAATTCAGTTAAGTTGCCCAAATGAGTCTTGTCTAGCGTGCATTGTGCAAATATTATTTTTGCATCTATCCTTGTTAAATGGCATGCATTCAGTACTCCTTCAAAATGTACTTTTTGTAAGGTCTGTTATGTGGTAAGCCTTGGGTCAAGCAATGGGGATTTGGAGGTGAGGTGAGACTCAGCTGCTCTCGCGAAGCCCCCGTCTGGTAGATAGGGACCTACAAGCAGATACTTGTCATCCTGCTAGTGCTGTTCTGAGTCTGCAAATGCGGGAGGGGGAAGCTGCCCTGTCCCGGGGAGTCACCCAGACCTTCAGACACAAAACTGGGGCAGGACTTTGCAGGATGTGTGAGGGTTTCTCACAGAGAGCAGAGAAGAACATTCGAGCAGCGGTACACACGCTGTATGGTGCATGGTACACACGCCGTAGACCTTGAGGATGAGAGCCAGTGTGGCTGATCATTACATGCTGCCTCACAGATGGCAGGCCCTGGGGACTCGGCCAGCAAGGACTAGAAGAGCCATGCAAGGACCTGCAGAGTGCGGGGCGGTGGTGTGTTGTGTGGAAGGGTGTCTGGGGCGTCTGACGCTCAGGACTCCACAGTCCCTTGTCCTCTGTGCCAGGTGAGAATTAAGCCCTTCGATCACGACCACAACCCACCCGCCCTGGAGGCCTTGGTGAGGGTGCCACAGCCTCCCAGCAAGGGGCCCGTCACGCACAAGTGGAGTGTGCAGATGGTGAGTGGAGTGCAGAGGTGGGAGAGGAGGCCCAGGTCTGGGGTGAGCCAACAGAGGGCAGCATGGATGTGTGGGGAGCAGTGAAGATGGGCAGATCCCAACCCTGTGGGACTCAGTGATGCCTGAATTCACCGAAGGCCCTAGGGAGGAAGCTCTGGACTCACGGAAGGCCCCAACACTCTAGAGACCGGGGGGCAGGGGAAGATGAGAAAGCAGGCCCGTAAGTCCAGGACTTGAACCGCAGTTTGCCATATGGGAGCCCAGCACCTTAACCACCGTGCCACCTGCTGGCCCTTTCCATGAGTTTTTGAAGCCCCCTCATCTAATACAGTGTAGTGTAGTATCATACCCTCTCAGAGACATTCACTGGTGCCACTCCCAGTACTGCTTTATAACGCGCAGGTCGCCCAGCCCTAGTCCAGATAGCTCTTTTGTTTGGGGGGGTGCGATTTTTGCTACAGGGCACATGTGCTCACCAGAGAGATAGAGATGGAGAAATCACCCCCCAGGGAGGATGGCCACAGTGCAGTCCCTTCTCCATTCCCCTCTTGGAATCTTGGCCACGCACACACACACGCCTGGCGTGAGTTTCAAGCTGCTGGGTCCGGGATTCAAACCATGGTTGGCCATGTGGGAGTCCAGTGCCTTAACTATCGTGCCACCTGCTGGCCCCCAGATAGCTCTTTTTATATAAAAGGTACTCAGGAAATGTTTCCTAATTCAGTTAAGTTGCCCAAATGAGTCTTGTCTAGCGTGCATTGTGCAAATATTATTTTTGCATCTATCCTTGTTAAATGGCATGCATTCAGTACTCCTTCAAAATGTACTTTTTGTAAGGTCTGTTATGTGGTAAGCCTTGGGTCAAGCAATGGGGATTTGGAGGTGAGGTGAGACTCAGCTGCTCTCGCGAAGCCCCCGTCTGGTAGATAGGGACCTACAAGCAGATACTTGTCATCCTGCTAGTGCTGTTCTGAGTCTGCAAATGCGGGAGGGGGAAGCTGCCCTGTCCCGGGGAGTCACCCAGACCTTCAGACACAAAACTGGGGCAGGACTTTGCAGGATGTGTGAGGGTTTCTCACAGAGAGCAGAGAAGAACATTCGAGCAGCGGTACACACGCTGTATGGTGCATGGTACACACGCCGTATACCTTGAGGATCACAGCCGCTGTTGC